CCTGACTTCATCCCCAGACCCCGCCATGTGCCATTTCGGTCTCCTTACATGTTGGGGGGTTCCATTTTGTGATTGGGTGCTGTAGGGCCCTTTCCCATTGCTGCCCCTCCACCGCCACCCTGCCCCAGGGTGCCTCGTCGTCTGCTCACACTGCGAGGGCTTCCGCTTTTTAACCGGGCCTGTTTTTGGCTTCCAAACTGCTGCATCCACCCCCCCCTGGCCATGTGTCTCTGTCGTCTGCTCCGTGTGCGACTTCTGCTTTTTAACCTAGGCCTGGTTGGCTTCGAATACTGCTGCCTACACCCCCACCCTGCACCATGTGCCTTGTCGTCTGTCACATGCTCCAGGTCCATACTGATTCTGGCCCCCTGTACCGGTCTCTAAAAAACGGGTTCAGCGGGTTTGCATCACTTAACGGCAAATGTTGAAAAAACGCGGGACTTTTCAGTTTTTGTCCGCAAAAGCCAGACACCAAGGGCAGACAGCCCTGTTATTACCCCAAAGCATGGCTAAAAAAACCAGTCTCTCCCCAAAAAATTGGCCCCCAGACCGCCCGGGTCTCGTAAGTAGATTGCACGGGGGATTGAGTTGTTATGGGAATTAATGTGGGGCTTTTAAACCTAGGCCTGTGTAGGCCCTTTTTAATTTAAGCGCTTTGCTCCCCCACCTTTCCATGGGCCCTGTACGCCTCCTCATTGCTGGGGCCCCCAATTGCCAGGGCCCCCCGTACCGCTCCCCATGCTCTGCCAGGCCCCTAATCTGTCATGGGCCCCTGTACCGCCTCTCATGCTGCTGCCAGGTCCAGAGTGTGTCATGGGTCCTGGTACTGCATCCCATTGCTGCTGTCTCCATCGCACACTCTGCCATGTGTCACTTTCAGGTCTCCTCACACTGTGGTGGGTTCCATTTTGTCATAGGGTGCTTGTATGGCCTCCCTTTTGCTGCTGCCTCCACCGCCACTGTGGTAACCACACTCTTGTTTTGGCACCGGACTGCCCAATTGAGTGTAGTGTGCGGTGATTCTAGATGACGGACACTCATCTGCATGTCATACTGACTGTCAGTATTATTTCTCTTCCCAGAGACTCCTAGGGGCATTTAAAATTAAAGGTCAGTGTTCTGCATTAATATAAAGACTCTCTGGAGCCTAGAAACACCCTTTTTTATAAGTTAAATTCGCCAGCGGACATATATTCGGGCTCGTATCGAATTTAAGCGGCCGAATTCGGCGAATCAGACGAACCGAATTTGTTGAATTAATTCGATCATTTCTACTCACAATGCCACAGGAGCTGTGGGTTCTCTTGCTTAGCTTCAAAAACATGATTTTTAGAAAAAGCCCACCCCCCAGCTATGCCACAGCTGGGACCTCAAAGAACATTCAGACCAAACTCCAACAGTCTGCACAGAACAGTCCAAAGCAATCAACAACTGCAATACATAACATATCCAACAATTCCTTGGTCTCTCAGTCTAGTACTGGTGCAGGTGATAGCTACAGTATATAATTAGATCACAAAATGCAGAGCAACTATCAGAGAGATCATTATACTGAAAGACTTGTGTTTTTATCAAATTAGCATTCCCCACATTTGTGATGCAACACAAAGGAAATTTCAAGGCATGGATTAGACACTGTGTGACCTGGAAGTTTCTGTCTAGAGAAAAGCTAGGTAAATGAATATGTGACTATAGGGGAATGGATCAACTATGACAGTACAAACTGCAGACACAACATGCGAGCCCATCAGTACAAGGTAAAGTAAACAAAGGACACGGGGAATATAACTACACTAATACCTGGTCAAAATAATAAAAAAAATTGAAAGTGTACATTGTCTTTAAATGGTATTTTATTCATGTACCATTCCAAATATTTCACATTTAACTCTGTCTCTGTTTTTCATTTGTGGGGGAAGGGAGTTGTATACTCAATGGGAAAAGTCATTATTTGTGTTCACTCCCTCCTCCCTTCATAACTTTAATAGGGCTGTAATGGGAATGTAATAGGAATTAGATGCAGAAAGAGAGACAGAAAATTTCCACCTGGGGAATTGAATGGCACAGGCAGTGTTAGTACTTGTAGCAGAACAGGCTAAGACTGGTTCAATTAGAATAATTTTTTTTTTTTTTGCATAGAAAGAATCAAAATAGTTGAATCAGAGAGAAAGTCAATTTTCACATATCTGTATCCGTTTAATAACATTTATAGAAAGCCCCATCCAAATAGTAAAAAAGGCAGGGATATTTTTTCATAAGCAATAGTTTCGATTTAAGGGGCAAATAATTTTTCCGGCATTTGCAACTTCTCTGAATTAGACCATAGAACAAACATTACAGTCACATAGTAATACACTGGGTCGAAGTATATTTTTTCAAAGATGCATATGCAATTCAAATATTGAAAATGATCCTGTGAAAGAAGAAATGTATAAATAAATAAATACTGTTTATGTTACAAGCACATAGTGTATTGTTTAAACACTTGCCAATCGCCCACAGTCCTTGTTCTGCGCAGGCAAAGCGACATACCCATACGTCGCTCTGCCTGTGCCCCCACACACACATGCGACGGCGGAATGCAGATTCTTGTATGCGATCACGGGATCAAAATGTCAACAAAGCTGTTATGAATTTCATTCATAGCAGCTTTGCTTCTGATACTAGTAAGCTGTGATTGGCTCACATGGTACCTGGGCCAATAACCGCACCCTTTACCATGTGATTGGCTGCAGCCAATCACAGATCACTCGTATTGTGAACTGTTATGAGCTTAACCCATTTATTACAGTTCTTAGCATTGCTGGTGCAATGCACTTCAAGTGTAAGAAAAAAAAAATCCCTGATCACCCCCCAAAGAAGTTTAAGGTTACTATGGTAACACTGAACTACTCTGATGATAGTACTTTTTAAATAGTAAAAAATAAAAAAAAAATTAAATATTGAAAATAAATTTTTTTAGGTTTTCTTTTTTCAATGTGCTGTCACCAGTCAGTGTCCCTGATCACCGCCACACCAGTCATATCATGAGATTGTACTGCGCTCATGACGGTATGTAAAAAAAAAAAAAGAAGAAAAGTGAAGAACACCCCCAGATTTTATTTAAAGAAGAATTCCAGACAAAATTGTTATTTTCTCATGTAGTGGGGCTGTGTGAGCACTGCATGGTTTAAATTCTCGTTTCTGTCTGGGGGCCCAGAAAGCAGAGATATGCTTACCTAATCCGCTGATCTTCTGAGTGCAAAACAGGTCCCCGCACTCCTACTCCCACACACTAGCGGTCTTGTGAATGGGCTGTTCCTGACGTCATACGACTCTGGACGTGAGGATGGTAGGAACTGAACTGAATACCACTAAACATAAGGGAGTGCCATTCTCCAGAGGATGGGGTAAGTATAGCTTTTCCCTAAAACCCTGGACAAAATGAGCACTTAACCCATGCTGTGTGGGCACAGCCCCCCTGCATGGTAAAATAAAAGTTTTGCTTTAACTACTTGCTGACTGCCTGCCTGCCATGTACTGTGGGCGAGCAGCAGCTCTAGGCAAAGTGACGCATCTGTACATCATGATCTATCTCATCCTGGTCCCTTTTCGGTCCGGGCAGACACGAGAGAATGCCACACTGTGAGTAAAAACAGCACATTACACACACACACACACACACACACACACACACACACACATTAGATTAGCACATTTAACCCTTTTATCACCTCTATTAACCATTTGATTCTATCACCCAGCCAGTGTCATTAGTGCAGTGTCAGTATATGGCATTTTTCACTGATCTCAGTCTTACTGCCGCTAGCAACATCAGACAGTGTCAGGCTCAGTTAGCACTCCTCCCAGCCAAGGTCAGCTAGCATTAAATTGCCTGCACACTCATGCTATAGGTTTCTGATCACCGCCATTACTAGTATAGTGTTTGTATGTATCAATATATTGATCACGAACAGAACTATACTAGTGCCCCCCTTAGCATAGTGTCCCCAAAAATGCAGCGTTAGCAGTGTCAGTATAATTTCTAATCACTGTCACCTGTGATACAGAATCAGGCCTAATCTCTGCCAGCACTAGCAGGTAAATTTTATTTGTAGCGGTTCAAATAGTCCCTGATAGCCAAGAGCTCTTTTTCCCATGAGTTGAACTAGGTACGAGCACCAGTACATCCTGGCATTTTACATATCAGCGCTGCAGTATCACTTGGTGATGTAGCAAGTTCCATAGGTGTAGTTCAAGCTGGCTAGCACTAGTAGCATCCCACAGCCACCAAGAATTCAAAACACAGGTCCGTAGAGCCCTTTGTAGGAACACCATTCAGCTGCAGCACTGATCTGTTTATTCTGACAGCAGCGGGGTATGCTTTCAGAATATATACGTCAGTGTGTGCAGAGCTGCTCGAGGAAATTTCTCATCCGCAGTTAAAAAAAAAAAGAACCTATATTCCCAAGCATGTGGCCTGGGGTGGTCAGTGGGTGTATCGCTCCTATGCTTCGGCATATATTTTTTTCACACTTTTTGGAAGAGATTTCTTCATATCCACATCAATTGATGTGAATGAAGGAATCTGTTGGGTTCTGTTTTTAAGTTCACCCCACAGGCTGCACGAAAAAAAAAGAACATTACATATATGCCCAACAGGGACCAGCGACGTACTGCTACGTCGCTGGACTTTGAGTGGTTACACCAGAATGATGCCTGCAGCTGCAGGCATCATTCTGGTATTTTTTTTTTCAGCCATCGGTCAGCTGCTGACCATAGAGCTGATCAGAGACTGGAACAGCTCCAATCATCTCCATAGTCCAAGAAACCGGTATCAATGAGCATTTCATCAATTCGGTTTCACCAGATATGAACAGTGCCATTTTTAAATTGGGAAAGCTTATAATCACAATGATCTTGGTATGATCAGATGCTTTAAAGGGCAGAGAAGAGATCTAGAGTCTAAAAGACCCCAGATTTTTCAGAGAAGAGTACCTGTCACTGCCTGTTGCTATCACTGGGGATATTTACATTCCCTGCAATAATGATAAAAGTGATTTTTTAAAAAAAGGGACAATGTAAAAATGAATAAAGTAAAATAATAATAATTTAAAAAAAATTAAAGCACCCTGTTCCCACTGTGCTTGCGTGCAAAGGCAAACACGTGAATTGGTCCTTTGGTGGTATGTGGTATGCGATTGCACCATGCATGTGAGGTATCAAAGCGAACCTCAGATCAAGGGCAGTAATTCTACTAACTATAATTCTAGTAACTATAATTCTAGTACTATACGTCCTGTGGAAAATTTAAAGTGGTAGCCTGTATAGCCTATGGAAATTAAAAATGCAAGCAGTCACCACTGCATGGGTGTGTGCAATTTTAAAGCATGTAATTTTTGGTATCTATTTACTCAATGTAAGCTCATTGTATACCTTACCAGAAAAATAAAAAAACATTTTATTCTACAGGGCCTTAAAAAAAGCTTGGGTATTTAAAGTAATTTTCTAGCAAAAATAAAAGATTTTTTCATGTAAATAAAAAGTGTCAGAAAAGGCTTGGTCTTCAAGTGGGTAATGGGTGTCGGAACCTTCTAACGTTGGGCATAAAATGCTAAGACAGTCCAAAAACTCCTCAAATTACCCATTTTTGGAAAGTAGACACCCCAAGCTATTTGCTGAGAGGTGAATATTTTGCAGATCTCATTTGTTGCCACAAGTTTTTGGAAAATGAAGAAAGAAAACAAAAATGTATTTCTTTTCTTTTTTTCTTTTTAAAAACCCTATGACAAAAATGATATCTGCAAAATATTCACCATGCCTCAAAATCCTTGGGGTGTCTTTTGGGGGATATTTGGACTATCTTGGCATTTTAGGGCATCCAAAATTGTAATAGGAAGTTAGGAAGAGACTTGAAGAAATATACCTTTTGAAAGCCTGAAGGTGGTCATTGGCTTTTGAGAGCTTGTATGTGGCTAGGCTGAAAAAAAGTCTCTCAAATGTGGTACCCCTATACTTGGGAGAAGTAGCAGAATGTGTTTCGGGGTGTAATTCCACATATACCCATGACATGTGTG